CTTCCTTCCTTCCTTCCTTCCTTCCTTCCTTCCTTCCTTCCTTCCTTTCTTTCTTTCTTTCTTTCTTTCTTTTCTTTCTTTTTTTCCTGTCTTTTCTTTTCTTTCTTCTTTCTTTCCCACACTTCAATTCAGTTCCCGATCTGTCTTGATCCATGTGCAAATGTTCGAAATGTTTGCACGGAAAGGTGCCTAGGCTTCTCACAGATTCCTTGTAATGATATGTAAAGATGTGGCTTTGCGGCTTCATTCATGCATTTTGAAACAAGCCTGATGGATTTTTAAAAAAATTTCCCTGGAGGAGGAAATGGAGGGATATTTACTCTACCTTCTACAGATGAAGAATCAACATGCAGGTAGTCCTTGACTTAAAGCCATTCATTTAGTGACGGAAGTTACACTGGTACTGAAAAAGAGGGACTTATGACCCTTTGGCACACTTAGTGACTGTTGCAGCATCCCCAGCCTCACCTGATCAAAATCCAGGTGCTCAGCAACTGACTTGTCTTTATGACAGTCGCAGAGTCCTGGGGGGGTTTATGCGATCCCCTTTTGCGACCTGCTAGCAAGCAAAAATCAGATTCACGTGGCCCACTTAACAACTGCAGTGATTCACTTAACAACAGTGGCAAGAAAGGTCGTAACATGGGGCAAGACTCACTTAACGACTGTCTCGCTTGCCAACAGAAATGCTGGGCTCAATTGTGGTCATAAATCCAGGACTGTCTATGTAGCTGAATTCAGGTTCATGTCTTATTGATAGATTTATTATTTGTTAAACCGATTTGCAGAGCCAGCCAGCTCAGAGGTGAGTCCAGGCAGCTGAGCAAAATATCAAAAAATCCACCGTATCATAACAACCCATAACTGTTTCCCTCCCTCCCTCCCTCCTTCCCCCGGGGGGCCAGGGGACCCTGCCGTGGGGGAGAGGCGGTCCTTCAAACAGGCCCTCTCCCCGTGGATGAGGTGGGGGGAAGGCAAAGCAGTTGCAGCCACAGGAACACCTGCGTCCTGGGACACCTTTCTCCAAACCTGTCCAAGGCTCCGTTTCCAGCCAGGAGGCGGAAGGAGGAAGCCTGGCCAGGAGAGGCTTTGCCTGCCCTCCTCCCTCCCGCTGAGACAGGCCCTCCCGAGGCAGCCACGGGGCAGAGCTGCGGTTACCTGCCTAATTACAGGCCTGGGTTGCCCAAGTTGCCAAGGTGGAAGGAGCAGCCCAGGTGCTCCGGCAGAACAAACACACCCAAGATCTGGGCCTCGGTTCTTTGCAAGCAGGGAAGTGGGTGCTTTTGAAACCGGAGCAATTGCGTGCAGGTACGCACAGGCCCGCACAGGTGCGGCCTTGCTCGGAGTCAGGAGGGGCAGAGGATTACCAGGAAGAGAACCAGGCCGGTGGACCCGGGCTCTCTCTCCCCTTGGCCTTCGCCCATTGTCTCTCTCCAAAGCTCTCCAACCTGGGCCAGTTTACGACCGGTGGACTTCAACTCCCAGAGTTCCTGAGCTAACATGGCTGGAGGAAGAGGAATTCTGGGAGTGTCTTAAAGCGGTCAAGTTTGGAGACCCCCTGCTCCGTCCTGGGGGCTGCTTAGGGCTGGGTCAGAAGGCCGAGAGGGCAGCCCAGGCGCCCCCTTCAACCATCCCCGGTGGACAGCCCCCTGGCCTGCGGCTTCTACCGTACCTGCAGCTCTGGGGTTCCCCACCCGTGAAACTCAGAACAGAATAACAGCGTGGGAAGGGACCTTGGAGGTCTTCTAGTCCAGCCCCCTGCTCAATCAGGAGACCCTAGACCATTTCAGGCAAAGGGTTGCCCAGCCTCTCCTTAAAGTCCTCCAGTGATGAAGCCCCCCACAACTTCTAGAGGCCACGTCTGTTCCGTTCCTTCCTTGTCTTCACCGTCAGGGAATGTCTTCCTGTCTCTATTTCTCCTTGGTGAGGTTCCCTCCGTTGCTTCTCCTCCTGCCTTCGGGGGCTCTTTGGAGAATAGGCTGACCCCCCACCCCACCCCCCCTCTCCGGGGCCGCCCCCCCGATACTGGAACGGTGCTATCGTGTCACCCACCGTAGATCTTCTTCGCATCAGGCTGGGCCCACCCTGCAGTTTCCTGCAATTGTGCCTCCTATGTTTCGCCCTCCAGCCCCTTCACCGCCTTGGCGGCTCTTCTCTGCACTCTTTCCAGAACCTCAACCGCTCTTTTGTATCGGGGCGAGCCAAACTGGACGCGATGCCTGGTCCAAGGGCCATTCTGGCTCGGACCAGGGGCTGTTCTGAGCACCCCGCTTTGCCCAGAGGGGCAACCAAGGCTGCTGCTGCTGCCCAAGGAGGGTCAGTCGGCCTGGAAAGACCAAGGGCCCCCCCTGGGAGGTAGCTATAGCAACGGCCCTTAGACTTATATCCCGCTTCACAGTGCTTTCCAGCCCTCTCTAAGCGGTTTACTCTGGTCCCCCAACAATCTGGGTCCTCTTTTATTGACCTCGGAAGGACGGAAGCTGTTGAGATTCGATCTGCTGGTTAGTGGGCAGAGTCAGCCTGCAATGCTGCATTGTAACAACTGTGCCATTATGGCTTCCTGCCTTCCCCTCATTTCCCTTCCTTCCTTCCTTCCTTCCTTCCTTCCTTCCTTCCTTCCTTCCTTCCTTCCTTCCTTCCTTCCCTCCCTCCCTCCCTCCCCCGCTCCTTTGTTTCTTCCTTCCTGTCTTCCTTCCTTCCCTTCTCCCTCCCTCCCTCCATCCCTCCTTCCTTCCTTCCCTCCCTCCTTCCTTCCTAAGCCATAGCCCTTAGACTTATATCCCGCTTCACGGTGCTTTGCAGCCCTCTCTAAGCGGTTTACAGGTTCAGCCTCTGGTCCCCCAACACTCTGGATCCTCTTTTATTGACCTCGGAAGGACGGAAGGCTGAGTCAACCTGGAGCCTGGTGGGACTCGAACTGCCAAATTGCAGGCAGCCGGCAGTACTGCACTCGGACCCCTGCACCACCGAGGCTCGTCAAGATGACGACGACCTTGGCTTCAGGGAGCGGGGCGGCTGGTGGGCTCCTCCTCCTCCTCCCGGGTGTCTCTTGGGTGATGTAACCTCCTTGGGGGTTTTCCTGTCACCCTCCCATCAAGGACCTGGCCTGGTTCAGTCCCGCTTAGCTTCCCGGGATCACTCAAGGCGCTGCTGCCCGGTTTGGTCTTCTGGAAACGGTCCCAGCGGGAAGGCCCAGAGCCCAGTTTCACCAGCCTGGGAATTCCCAGCTGTTCCCGTCTCAACCCTCCAAGTTCTCGCAAGGGCCTTGTTCTCTGGGGAGTTGCTGGGGTTGACGCCCTCATCTGGGGCAGCCCAGGTGAGGCAACCCTCCCTGCGTCTTCCTGGTTTCTCAACGCTGCGCCTGCCTGGAAGCCTGGGAGTCGGGCCCACCAAACATCTGGAGAGCATCCGTTCGGGGTTGGGTGCCTCATCAGTCCATGTTTCTCAGCGGTGGCAGCTGAAGGGCTTCCACTCCCAGAATCCCCCAGCCAGCCGCCAGCATGTCTTAAGATGGGTGGAGTTCCACCCGCTGCCTGGGGAACTCTGGGAGTTGAAGTCCATAGAGATCAAAGTTGCTGCCCTTAAGAAATACTTAACACCCAGGAGGAGCGGAATGAACGAGGCCAGGAGAACGAGCCCAGGAGCTCCGTCTCCAGCCCGGAAATGGGATTAAGCGGCCGAAGCGGCCTTGGTGGGCAGCAGCCTCTCATCAGGTGCCCAGCAGGGGCTGCACTCGTACGGCACAAGTGAAATCCCAATTTCCTGTTACAGTTTGTGGCTCTTTGTGTTGTATCGGCCGATACACACAAAAGACGCGAGGCAGTGACTTGAGTTCAGCTCATTTATTAAGGCTTAAAACAAGTGTGTCTGCGGCTGGGTATGCTGCAGCTTATGTGGATCTGGCACCGGGCGCCGCGGCCAATGACAGCTGTTCGAATCGCCCGCAATCGACTCGGCCAATCGCGGTCGATTCTGAACGGCCAATCAGTGCCGCGCACTCAACCAATCCGGTGTCTGCGTGCTCGTCCAATCAGGGTTGCCGGATTTCAAGAATGTAAATGTCCATACAGAACACTTTGGGTGTTTGCCAAAGTCTGGTGCTGCCTTCCCCCCCCCTTACAGATTGTGTTGAAAGAGCTGGAGAGCAGGGGCCCCTCCCAGGGTGGCAGCCCTGCCCACTTGGTGCGCTCAGGGCCCAAACCTTCTCCTTGACCAGCTTTTCTTCTTCTTCTTCTTCTTCCCGCAGGAAGCCCAGTGCGGCTACACCATCATCGTGATGGCCATCTTCTGGTGCACGGAAGCCCTGCCCCTGGCGGTGACCGCTCTCTTCCCCGTCCTCTTCTTCCCCCTCATGGGCATCATGGACTCCTCCACGGTAGGCCAAGCAGGGGAGTCGGGAGGGCCCAGGTGGGCGGGGAAGGGGGGAGGATGCTGGGTTCGAGAGCATCTTCCAATATTTGTGGGGCTGTGGTGGAGAAGATGGCGTCCACCTGTTCCCCAAAGCACATGACGGACAAGAAGCAACGGATGGAAAGCGATTGTGGAGAGAAACAACTTGGAACGAGGGAAAAATGTCCTGGCAGGAAGGACAATTAGCCAGGGGAACTGCTTGCCACCAGGAGCTGTGCGTGCTCCATCACGGGAGGCTTTCAAGAAGAGACCGGGCGGCCATTTCTCAGGGGTGGTAACAGATCACAGATACTCAGAGTTGGAAGGGACCTTGCAGGTCATCTAGCCCAACCCCCCGCCCAAGCAGGAGACCCTACACCATTTCCGACAGGTGGGAGTCCAATCCCTTCTTGAAAGTCTCAAGGGATGGTACAGGACAAGGGTGTCTAATCTTGGGAACTTTAAGTTTCGTGGGGTTCAATTCCCAGAATGGGTTTTATCGATGGGTAGAGATAAGAGGTAGAAATTAGATGAAGAAAGAGTTTATGTTTAAATTAAACATGGTTTATAACTATAAGTATGCTAATATAACCAGTAGGATTACAAATAAGCTAAGATTATTATAAATATGGTTAGAATCATTTCGTTGTACTATTACTTTTGTTATCAGTATATATAAGTATGTATGTATGTATGTATGTCTGTATGTATGTGTGATATTCAGCTTTGTTCGGGTATTTTTCCACGTCATTATAGTTGTGCTTTTAAAGTTGTAGCGACGTTTCGGCAGAATCTCATCTGCCATCACCAGGCTTCCGTATTGAGTTCGTCTGTGAGTCAGACTTTTACAGTTGTGTAAAAGTGTAAAAGTCTGACTCACAGACGAACATATGATGAACATATATATATATATGTTACTATTTCTTTTTTTTTTCTTTTGTAACATAGCATGCCTGGACAATACACTGTATTCAAGATATTTGTATATAAATTAAAAAAAAAAAAACTTGACCTAAAAGACTTCCTGCTGGAGCAGAGGGCTGGACTAGAAGATCTCCGAGGCCCCTTCAAACTCCCTCATCCTGTTGCCTTGCTTCCCTGCAGGTGTGCATGGAATACCTGAAGGACACCAACATGCTCTTCATCGGGGGCCTCCTGGTGGCCATCGCGGTTGAGCACTGGAACCTCCACCGGCGCATCGCCCTGCAGGTCCTCCTCATCATCGGTGTCCGGCCGGCCTTGTAAGTGCTTCAGGAGAGGGCCCAGGCCTGGGGCCTTCCCCTCCCCATGGGCCCCTTGAGGAAGGGGACCCTTGGGGGAGGGCTCTGGTGGGTGGACTTCCTGCCTGCTGGACCTCAGAGTTGTCCTAGAGAAGGCCTGCGCACCCCTGAGGTGTCCTTGGAGTCACCTGCATCCCTGCCCAGTGGGGCAATCAGTCAGAACAGAGCTGGAAGGGACCCCGGAGGTCTTCTAGTCCAGCCCCCTGCTCAAGGAGGGGACCCTCTACTAGGGGTGTCCGACATTAGAACTTGAAAGCTAGTGGGCTGAAAGTCCCAGAATTCTGAGAGTTGAAATCCACTTAAGTCTTAAAAGTTCTAACTATTTACAAAGTCTGCACTGCTATCACGATTAATCTTCTCATCCCCCCTTATCACCATCCCCCTCCCATTTGGGACTGTAGGACTGTAACTTTGTGGTTTGTATCCTTACGATTTATATGGACTGTTTCCTGGTATGCTTTGATGGCTTATTGTACCCTCTGACTGTCATTAAGTGTTGGACCTGATGATTCTGGACTCTTGACGAATGTCTCTTTTCTTTTATGTGCACTGAGAGCATTTGCACCAAGACAAATTCCTTGTGTGTCCAGTCACACTTGGCCAATAATTCTTTCTTCCCTTCTTTCCTTCTTCCCTTCTTTCCTTCTTTCCTTCTTTCTCTCTTTCCATCTTTTTTTCTTTCCTTCCTTCCTTTCTCCCTCCCTCCCTTCTTTCTTTCTTTTTTTCCTTCTTTTTTCTTTCCTTCCTTCCTTCCTTTTTCCCTCCCTCCCTCCTTCCTTCCTTCCTTCCTTCCTTTCCTTCTTTTTCTTTCTTTCTTTCCTTCCTTCCTTTCTCCCTTCTTTCTTTCTTTCTTTCTTTCTTTCTTTCTTTCTTTCTTTCTTTCTTTCTTTCTTTCTTTCTTTCTTCCTTCCTTCCTTCCTTCCTTCCTTCCTTCCTTCCTCCCTCCCTATCTATCTATCTATCTATCTATCTATCTATCTATCTATCTATCTAATTATTAGGTGTTGTACCAGAAGTTTCTTGATGAATGTCTCTTTTGTTTTATGCGCACTGAGACCCTTTTGCACCAAGACGAATTCCTTGGGTGTCCAGTCACTCTTGGCCAATGAAGAATTCTATTCAATTCAGTTCAGTTCTAATGTTGGAGACCCTCACCTCTCCCACTCTGCGCAAATGGCAGTCCAGCCTCTTCTTCAGAGCCTCCAGTGTTGGAGCAGCCATAGCTTCTAGTGGCCAGCTGTTCCACTGATTGGTCTCCCTTCCTGTCAGGAAGTTTCTCCATAGTTCCAGGTTGCTCCTCTCCTTGAGGAGTTTCCATCCGTTGGACGTCTAGGTGGTTCTGCAAGAGGTTCTCCAGAAGGTCCAGTTGCCTCCTGCAAAAGCCCCTTTGGGATTTCCACCCGTTGCTTCTTGTCCTGCCTTCAGGGGCTCAGTGGAGAATAGGGGGAGCCCCTCTTCTTTGGGGCAGCCCCCCAAAATATTGGAAGGTTGCTGTCAGGTTCGTCCCCTGCTCCTTCTTTTCAGTCAACTAGTTCAGGGGTCTCCCACCGTGGCCACTTTAAGACTGGTGGACTTCAATTCTCAGAGTCCCTCAGCCAGCGAACTCTGGGAGTTGAGGTCCCCAAGTGTGAAAGTGGCCAAGGTGGGAGACCCCCTGGACTAGACATCCCCAGTTCCTGCAATGGTTCGTCATATGATTTTGCCTCCAGTCCCCTAATTCTCCACGCCAAATCACAATTAGTTGTCAGTCCTGACCCTTGATATGGGGCTAGGAAGTGCCCTGGGCTGTTCACCCAAGCAGCGTGTTAAGGTAATGAAGATTTCACAGCTGACCGGCTGCTGGAAGGCTGTAAGCCATGATGGGGAACTGAGGATGAGTCAGCAGGGTACTGCCGCTTTAAGAAGCTGTCTATATAAGGGAGGCCATGTGAGGGTCTCTCTCTCTCTCTCTCTCTCTCCCTCCCCCTCTCTCTCTCTCCTCGTGTTCTACCTCCACGGTAGTTCTCCGTGTAAAGTTGAAGATTGATTGCTTGCCTGGTATTTGCCTAAGATGTGTATGTCTGTATATAGCTGTCTTGTATAGAAACCGTTGTTAAAAGACGGAGCCGCCGTCTGTTGTGTTGTGCTCCTGGGTTGTGCCTCACCTAGTCAGGCTGTGCACACTCTGACAGCGCAGCTCCTGGAGGGGCTGTGGGGCTCCAGCCTGGCCAGACCCTCCCTCCTCTCCCTCCTCCAGGCTCCTGATGGGCTTCATGGGTGTCACGGCCTTCCTCTCCATGTGGATCAGCAACACGGCCACCACAGCCATGATGGTGCCCATCGCCCAGGCCGTCCTGCAGCAGCTGCAGAAGTCGGAGCTGGAGCAGAGCGCAGCGGAGCAGGGGGCCGCCCAGAACGGGACCATCAACCGGGCCTTTGAGATGCAGGAGGCCCCCCCGCAGCAAGGTAGGCCTCCCGCTAGCACGCCAGGCTTCCTCGCGGCTTGCAGGGGCTCCCGGAGGAACGCCGGGCCAAGGCGGGCTGAGGCCTCCTGACATTTAGAGTAACAGAGTTGGAAGGGGCCTTGGAGGTCATCTAGTCCAACCCTCTGTCCAAGCAGGAGACCCCACACCATTTCTGACTGAGGGCAGCCCAGTCTCTTCTTGAAAGCCTCCAGGGATGATGAAGCTCCCACAACTTCTGAAGGCAACTTTTCTTCCATCAGTTGATTGCTCTCACTGATGGAAAATTCCTCCTTATTTCCAGGTTGAATCTCTCCTGGTTCAGTTTCCATCCATTCTTCCTTGTCTGACCTTCGGGTGCCTTGGAGAATAGCTTGACCCCCTCCTCCTCCTCTCTGGGGCAGCCCCTCCAATATTGGAAGATGCTCTCCTGTCTCCCCTGGTCCTTCTCTTCCCTGGACTAGCCAGGCCCAGTTCCTGCAACCGTTATTCCTATGTTTTAGTCTCCAGTCTCTTCATCCTCCTAGTTGCTCTTCTCTGCACTTTTCCTAGAGCCTCAACATCTGTTTTTATAGTGTGGTGACCAAAACTGGATGCAGTTCTCTAGGTGTGGCCTTACTAAGGCTTTATAGAGTGGTATTAGTACCTCCCTTGATCTTGATTGTATCCCTCTGTTGATGCAATTTAGGATTACACTGGCTTTTTTGGCTGCTGCTCCTTATATGTTTTATCCTCCAGTCCCCTCATCATCCTGGTTGCTCTTCTCTGCCCTCTTTCCAGAGCCTCAACCTTTTTTTTATAGTGTGGTGACCAAAACTGGATGCAGGACTCTAGGTGTGGCCTTACTAAGGGTAGGTAGTTAGACAGACAGACAGATAGACAGACAGACATGTTATAGATCAGAGGTGGGATTCAGCAGGTTCTGACCAGTTCTGGAGAACTGGAAATTTTGGAAATTTTGAGCAGTTGAAAGAACCGTCAAATACCACCTCTAACTGGAGATTCTGCAGTATCCTTTCCCTAAAGATAGATAGAGACAGACAGAGAAGAGAGAGAGAGAGAGAGAAAGACTACACTAGACTAGCCAGGCCCAGTTCCTGCAACCGTCCGTCATATGTTTGAGCCTCCAGCCCCCTCATCCTCCTGGTTGCTCTTCTCTGCACTTCTTCTAGAGTCTCTAAACATCCTTTTTATAGCGTGGTGACCAAACCTGGACGCAGGACTTCTAGGTGTGGCCCTTACTAAGGCTTTCTAGGGTGGGGTTAGTACCTCCCTTGATCTCGATTGTCTCCCTCTGTTAATTCCTCATCCAGCCTGCGGGATCACGGGGGGGGTCTGCCTCCCACTTGCCCGCTGCCCTCCCGCCCGGCTTGCTGACCCCCCCGCCCCATCTTATGACCCTCCAGCCCAGGTGCAGGTGGTGGTGAAGGAGAAGCTGCCGGAGGAGGCTGAGCCGAAGCTGGACGAAGAGCGGCAACAGCTGCAGCAGAAGCACCAGACCTTTTGCAAAGGGATGAGCCTGGCCGTCTGCTACGCTGCCAGCATCGGGGGCATCGCCACTCTGACGGGCACCACCCCCAACCTGGTCATGAAGGGGCAGATGGACGAGTGAGTCTTCTCTCTCTCTCCCTCTCTCTCTCCCCGGGCCTGGCCCCCTCCCCAGGTTTCTGTCCCAGAGGATTAAGGGGAGGGGGGCCCAGAAGGGTCTCCCTCCGACTTTCCCCATCGCTCCTTCCCATGTTCCAGACCAGGAGTCCCCAACCTTGGGCACTTTAAGACTTCCTCCCTCCCCTCCCGCTTGCTCCTTCCTTCCTTCCTT